GAGGATGAGGCCCAGAAATCAGGATTTTAAAAAGATTCCCAGGTGATTCTAATGTGCAGCCAAGGTTGAGAACCACTGCCCTAAGCTATCAAGAACTGGTTAAATTGTCAGGAGCCTTGATTTAAGAAAAATCAGTCACTAAAGTAAGTAAAAATAAATCAGTGAAATTTGCAAAAGGTTCAACAGCCAAGATAAAATAAAGACAATACCTCATATTACGTACTCCTATAAATATGCCTATGGGAATATTTGCTTCAGGAAGAATTTTGTGTTTTCTTAATCTAAGGGTACCAGAGCATTAGACAAAGATGGGAAAGCAAGGCAGAAGGTAAAAAGATAGAAGTTTACTGTGGCTGGGGACAGACATAGGAGGCATGCAAACTCTCCAGACCAAAAGAATATTTAAAACTGATATATCTGTGGGCCATTCCACTTTTTAAAAATATATACTAGTGTAATCTTTTACTGTCCAGGTGATGTGTATTAACATTCTATTAGCCTGATCCTTTTGTAGTTTTAAGTATTTGTTAAATGCTTACACGTACCCTGTAAAGCAGGGGTCCTCAAACTACGGCCCGCGGGCCACATGCAAATACAAATATTGGATTTGTTCCCGTTTTGTGTTTTTACTTCAAAATAAGATATATGCAGTGTGCATAGGAATTTGTTCATAGTTTTTTTTAAAACTATAGTCCGGCCCTCCAACGGTCTGAGGGACAGTGAACTGCCCCCTGTTTAAAAAGTTTGAGGACCCCTGCTAAAGCTTTGAGAGATAAACAAAAAAGAGTAAGACAACGTTTGTCTTCAAGGAACTTTATAATCTAGCTGGGGAGACCAGAAGAAACAATTAGAAAGTACTTCAGTGTGCGAACCTTCATAATACACTTTTCTAAAAAGAAGGACTAAGTGAATGTAGTCTGAGGTATTCCTGGGGGGCTTTAGTGGAGGAAGTGCAAGTGATCTTTTACTGTCCAGGTGATGTGTATTAACATTCTATTAGCCTGATCCTTTTGTAGTTTTAAGTATTTGTTAAATGCCTACACGTATCCTGTGAAGCTTTGAGAGATAAACAAAAAAGAATAAGACAACGTTCGTCTTCAAAGAACTTTGTAATCTAGCTGGGGAGACCAGAAGAAACAATTAGAAAGTACTTCAGTGTGCGAGCCTTCATAATACACTTTTCTAAAAAGAAGGACTGGGGAAGGGTGGGCGGGAGCCAAGGCCCTGGGCCGGGCGCGGGCAGGCAGAGGTGGCGCGAAAAAAATAAATAAAAATAAAAAGGACTAAGTGAATGTAGTCTGAGGTATTGCTGGGGGGCTTTAGTGGAGGAAGTGCAAGTGAAAAAAAAAGCTGGTTTTGAAGAAAGAGTAAGAATGGTGGGGATAGAAAGGGTGTTTCTGTCAGAGGGAATAGTAGCGAGGACCACTGATGAGTGTGAATCCCCACGTTGAGGGCCCCCTTTCCAGGACCTTCCTTGTCTGGTCAGCTGTTGTCATGCACAATCAATTCCTTCACCTGCACTGGCTCTTTCCTCTCAACACACAAACACCCACTCTCAAATCCAATGGCTTTCTTTAGTTCTTATTGGTTGCTTCTTAAAATCTTCTCTTGGGTTGATTCCTTAACTTTCCTGATTCTTCTACCTCTTTAACATCTCCTCAATTTCCTTTTCCTGCCTACTCCTTAGTATGTTTCTTCCTTTGTTGAACATTAATTGAGCATCTATTAGGCACCAGGCATTAGAGAAATAAATGTACAATTTCTGCCTCCTTACATTTATATGTGCAGACATATAAACTGATAATTAAAATATTTTGTGGCAAGTGCATGGGGCTTAACACAATGCCATGAGAGAAGAAAAGTACCTAACATCCTGGGATAAGAGAGTACTGCACTGGCTCTTTCCTCTCAACACACAAACACCCACTCTCAAATCCAATGGCTTTCTTTAGTTCTTATTGGTTGCTTCTTAAAATCTTCTCTTGGGTTGATTCCTTAACTTTCCTGATTCTTCTACCTCTTTAACATCTCAATTTCCTTTTCCTGCCTACTCCTTAGTATGTTCCTTCCTTTGCTGAACATTAATTGAGCATCTATTAGGCACCAGGCATTAGAGAAATAAATGAATGAATAAATGTACAATTTCTGCCTTCATGACATTTATGTGTGCAGATATATAGACTGATAATTAAAATATTTTGTGGCAAGTGCATGGGGCTTAACACAATGCCATGAGAGAAGAAAAGTACCTAACATCCTGGGATAAGAGAGTAGGGATGTCTCACAGGAAGTTTCTTAAAGGAAGTATCTCTGACACCTGAGCTGAACTTAAAAGATAAGCAAGAGTTAGCCAAGAAATGGGGGGAGGTGCATGGAAGATGGAAGGGCATTCTAGGTGAGGGAACAGCATGAGCAAAGGCAAGAAATGGCCTGTCATGTACCTTTTGAAGTTATTGAACAAAATTTGGGATAGAGATTGGTGGGAAAGGAAGCTGGAGAAGTATTTAGTTGCTGGGTCACAGAAGGCTTTCTGCGCCTTGTTAAGGAGTGTGCCTTTAATTTCGAAGGTGGAGGGAAAATGTTGAATGGGTGTCAGCAAAGGAGAGACAACACTATGTTTTATGTACATGAGTGGATCTCCATTGCCTTTGCTCATATTCATAGCCTTTATTCCATATGCACAACATAAGAAGTTCATAGATTTCTAAAAAGACTGAATTTTACTTGTAATCATCAGCAAATTTAGGCTCATTATGTTACAGGGATGGTAGACACACATTCTCTCTTACATTTTCTCGTATATATTATTGCTTTTCAACAGTAACACTCAACTTGGAAAAGCAAATCTGACATCTTAATGTGCTTCACTTTTCAAGGTGCTGCCACATGACAGCAAAGCTCGCCGACTGTTTGTAACAAGTGGTGGACTTAAAAAGGTTCAAGAGATAAAAGCAGAACCTGGGTCTCTTCTACAAGAATACATCAATAGCATTAACAACTGCTACCCAGAGGAAATAGTAAGGTGGGAAAAATTGACTTTGAGAAGTTCAAAATTAGAATGTGGTTTTTCTGTTTTCAAATCTATATTTTATATCGACTCTGTCAAAATACTACATGAGACCAGTGTATACCTTCACCCCTGCTCTTGATCACTTTTTCTTCACAAATTAAGTAATGTTCTGATTGACACACACATTTCCAAATTAAACTAGAATGTCATTTAAGACATTTATGTACTAATTTAAGACATGCTTCACTAAAGAATACCCAAATACAGAGTTCAAATTAATCTTTAATGTGAACCTGATTTAGAAAAGGGCCTATGGATTCTGATTTTCATAGTTCCCTGCATATATTATTAAGCTCACACTTCTATTAATGGGAATATTACAAATAGAAAAAGAGATATGTTGAGTGTCAAAAAGAAAGTTACAATCCATATTTGAAAAAAAAACCTGAATAAATAATGTTGTCTATGAAATGCAGGTGCTTTATAGTAATGTAGGAGGAAGCTACTTTTAAAATTAATTTTTTTAATGAGGTTGATTTGAAGATGATTAAACCTAAGCCCCAGACCTTGTAAGCCTAAAAGAGAACCATATCACTAACCCCAAAATAATTATGTGGAAAAAAATGCCACAACACAATTAAGAATTAAAGGCCATATTTTTCTAATCCTACACTTATTTCTTACTTTCTCTAATATTAGAGAATATAAATTCCAATTTTAAAACTTGTTATCCTAGATAATAAAAGGCTAATATGCAAATTGTCCCCTCAACTGGGAATTTGACTAGGAGTTCAACCGGAAGTTCAACCAGAGGGCAGGGCAAGCTGGCCAACCACCCTCGGCCCCTCACCCCAGCCAGCCCCACCCCCGATCGGCCCTCCACCTGTGCACGAATTGATGCACCGGGCCTCTAGTAACATATAAATGATTCTTCCTATTTAATATTGGTGATTCTTAATATATATGGTAACATTGATTCTAAAAACACAAAAATAATTTTATTTAAGATTAAAATCTGTTTTCTGTTCACATATGTTCTACAGATAAATTCTTTCCCAAGAGATAAGTTTATGCACTTTTGGAGGTTTATGAGAACTCCTTGACCAAAAGAGTTCCAATAAGTTAGCTTTGAAAATATTAGTACATATAAAATATACCAAAGGAATAGTATATCATAAAATGTATACCTATTACATATAATGTACAAAAAATTTTTGATATACCAAAAAAGTTTATATAACACTAGAGACCCGGTGCATGAATTCATGCGCCAGTGGGGTCCCTCGGCCTGGCCTATGGGATCAGGCTAAAACTGGCTCTCCAACATCCCTCAAGGGGTCCCAGATTGCAAGAGGGCACAGGCCAGCCCGAGGGACCCCACCGGTGCACAATCGGGGCCGGGGAGGGACATGGGAGGTTGGCCAGGTACGGAGGGCTCCAGGGCATGTCCAGCCCATCTCGTTCAGGCCAGACTCCAGCAGCAAACCTACCAGTCGGAGCGTCTACCCCCTGGTGGTCAGTGCATATCATAGCAAGCGGTTGAGCAGCCTGGGCAAATCATTAGCATATTATGCTTTGATTGGGTGAACAGCCAACCAGTCAACCAGACACTTAGCATATTAGGCTTTTATTATATAGGATATACAATATGTGTAAAACTTCTAAATGGAGAAAATATAAATCTTTTTTCAAGGAAAAAAATAGTTAATTTTTACACATTTGCACATCCCTTTAGGAAGAATGCTATTTTATGTAAGTTTAAAATAACTTTCAATACAATTTTCTAACATAAACAAAATTATAGAAAAAATGAAAACTAAAGGGTCCCCAAATGGAATGGCCTATTAGAATTAACCAATGGTAAAGAACTTTCTTGTCTTTCTATACTTTTCTAAGATTATTTTACAGAGCACGAAGGGAAAGAAAAACTCTGTCATGTTAGAATCTAATTTGGTGTTTTGTCAAAATACCATTGTAAATTTTTCACTTTTAACATTCTGTGACCTGGGATTTTATTTTTAAAACTAGAGACCTGGTGCATGAAATTTGTGCACACGTAGGGTCCCTAGGCCTGGCTGACATTCAGGGCCAATCGGGGCCTTCGCCTGCCAGCCGGGGCCTCCCTTCCCTGGCTGCCGGCCGAAGCCTTCCTTCATTCCGCACTGCCCCCTGGTGGTCAGCGCACGTCATAGTGAGTGATCAGTCTCCTGGTCAAACTCCCGTGGGGACAATTTGCATATTAGGCTTTTATATATCTAGATTGGCTAATTATCATGAAGAATTTTGGTTAGCTGACTTTTTCAAATTTCTGATAAATTTTTTAAAGCATTAGGTTCTATAAAATGGTGTTTTACAGAAATCTTTGAAACATTGTTTATGAAGAGACCAATATAACCTTTAAATGGTTTTATTTTTACAATCATATTTTTAAGAATCACTTAATGTCTCTTTTAGAACTAATTCTTTATAAGACAAATTACCAATGATCACATTCTCTCTGCTCTTTTTAGCCTAAATATCTACTTCATATTGCCTTCCAATTTTAGTAATCTTTAAAAATTTCTAACGAAGGTAGTTGGTATGATGAGAGAGAAGGCACCCAGGACTAGAGGTTAGAAGATTTAAGTTCTAGTCCTTGTCCACGCCACAGCCAGAGATATTTTTGGAACTCTTTTGTCTTCTTAACCTCTGCCTAAACTAGGGAGGGGAAGATGCTTTTAGTAATCTTCTAATTTGGGGAGAGAGGCATGCATACAAGTCTTCCACTTGACACATTTCTGATATGGTAACTGTATAATAACCCAAATTCAACATGGATCTATGGTAAGGTTAATTCAATTATATTCTTAAAGCCATAGAGAGCCCTAGCCAGTTTTGCTCAGTGGATAGAGCGTCAGCCTGCGGACTGAAGGGTCCCAGGTTTGATTCTGGCCAAGGGCACATGCCCAGGAGGTGGGCTCAATCTCCACTTGGGGGGGTGCAGAAGGCAGTCAATCAGTGATTCTCTCATCATTGATGTTTCTCTCTCTCTCTCTCTCTCTCTCCCTTCCTCTCTGAAATCAATAAAGATATCTATTTTTTTTAAGTTTGAACAACTATTTTTTTAAAAAGCCAGAGAGATAAATTGAAATAACAGTGGTTGACGGGCAGAAAAAAAGAAATTTCCTGTTTTTTGGAGGTTCAATTCTTTTATAAGGAGTATGTGGTTAGTACCTACCATATAGTAGCACAGTTTTTAAAGTTTGGGTTTTTATTTGTAATATACTTCTTGCTATTGACATTAAAAAATACCTTTCTTGCCCTGACCGGTTTGGCTCAGTGGATAGAGTGTCGGCCTGTGGACTGAAGGGTCCCAGGTTCAATTCCAGGCAAGGGCATGTACCTTGGTTGCAGGCACATCCCCAGTGGGGGGTGTACAGGAGGCAGCTGATCGATGTTTCTAGCTCTCTATCCCTCTCCCTTCCTCTCTGTAAAAAATCAATAAAATTAAAAAAAATAAATACCTTTGTGTCTGACATATTTATAAGGTCTAGGAAGGTGAGGCCTACTTTAAAATTTGTGACCAACTCAGAGAAAGCAGTTGTGAATTCCTCAGTGTATGAGTACTTTGAAGAGATCCACTTGTTGAAGGACTTTTCTAGAGTAGGAGGCCTTTAGAGAAAAAGCATTCTTTAAGGTAGCTTTTTACATTTGTCTGTATGTATCTGTTTAACTATGGCTACCTATAAGAACACACTATTGAGAAAATACAGCTCTGTTTTGTCCTATAACTTGACAAATTATGGAAGAAATTAGTATACTCTCAATTATGAATTTTTAAGTCAAGCATCCAAGCATAAAGATAACTAATAAAAGACAAAGCAAGTCTCGAACTTTAGGTTTTATCTGGAGAAAACACCTTATGAGTATTTGTTATTTTAAATGTTTTGGAAAGTTTTAAATTACAATTTAGTTTTTTATTCATTTATTATATTCTAGAATGTCTGCCAAATTTTATTTGACAGATTTTATATGCATGTAAGTTCTTTCCATGGTATATGAATCATCCTACAACATATAAATAAATATATTTAATACCTTTATACTAAATCTTTTATAAAATGTTCTATTTATAAATATGAATTTATAGATGCCCAAGAACAAATGAAATCAATTAACTTCCTAGGTATGTAGGATGGAATCGTTGTAAAACACTTATGAAGTAGTTCTATAATATGAATTATACTCCCCAAAATTTTTTTATGTGACCAGACCTGATTAAAACATGCATTGAGAATAATCCCTAAGACAATCTGAATGCAGAAGTTGATTAGTAATGATAGATCATGTTGTCTAATTTATGAAAAAAATCTATTAGTTATAATCATTAAAGCAACATCAGTCACTTGACATAATAAAACAAGTTGCTTTAATAAAATACTATCACTGGGTCCAAGTAACTTACTTTGAAAATATCCATTCTTTGCCACTGCACTGATAGCCCTTAAGTGTCTTGTTATTTATCTAGCACAGTCGAGTGAGTTTTCTTTTTTTTGTTCTTTTTAATCCCCACCTGAGGATATGTTTAGAAAAAGAAACAGAGGAAAGAAGGGGGAGAGAGAAATATCGATTGGTTGCCTCCCATATGGACCTCAACAGGGGATCAAGTCTGCAACCTAGGTATGTGCCCTGACAGGAAATCGAGCCTGAAACCTTTTGGTGTATGGGATGCCACTCCAACGAACTGAGCCACATGGCCAGGGCAATGTTCTTTTCTTGATAGGCTCTAACCTTGTGCACAAGCATTACTGGAGCATAATTATTCAGAGATTTGATTCATAGAATTATTTCAGATAAAAACAACCTCTCATTGAATCTTTTGTGCCTACTGGGCTAAATCTTTTCACCAGTATCTAATAAAAATTTTCTTTTTCAGGTATTATTCTCCTGGATATTCAGATACACTTTTGCAAAGAGTGGACAGCTATCAACCACTTATTAACTAAGCAAATTTACATTTATATATTCAAATTCACAGCAGAGTAATTATGAGTAATAGTTAAATAAAGGTCTTTCTAAATATTTGAACTAAGTATACTCTAGATTTATTCAATGTAAAGTACCTTTAGGTAATATTTTCAAATTTATGTAATACTTTAAAAATTAGTGGCTTGACTATGTGAGAAACTATTCATGATCTTTTATAAAGGATTTACTCTAAAAGTAGATATAAAGACATTAAATAATTTTAAGGCATTTGTTATTGCTCTATTAAAAACCACACACACACACCTCCAACTAGAGACAGATGGAAGATAGTATTCAAAAACTCAGTTATTTTGGCCAATTCTTCATAGGCATAAGCAAGGAAAACTGGGCTTACAAATTCTACAGGTTATAGAAGGGAAGTAGTTGAAAGAGGAAACTAATGACAGAAGCAGAAAGACTCGAATGCTGGTGACATAGATGCATTAATCTAGCACACAGACTGTGAATAGCCTGTCAGAGATAACCTTACGAACTTAGGAAACTCCTGTTCATCCCAAGTTTTCCAAGGTCTTTTCTTACCCTACCTAAACCGTTCCTTACCTTCCTGGCCAGAGAGGATAGAAGGTCAACATTAAGCATTATGCTACTGCAGACATGCTTTCCATTTTCATGGAAAGGTTTCTTAGTCTAGCTCTGCTCATGAATAAACAAGGAGGCAGGCATGTAAAATGAGCCATCAGTATTCCTTTGTCCTAGCTTCACTTTCCCAAGTCTCAAAAGTCACATTTTTAGAGATTTAAGACACAATTTGGAAAGAACACCATCAGGCTCAGACTTTACATGCATCTTCATTCCCTTAGGGAACTAAAATAGGATGAGAGGGGTGTTCAATACAAGTTTAAGTAACAGCAGCATTAGAATTGTTCCTTTCATTTTTCCTGTCTAGTGTGCTTCTGGCCTTGGGGAATATGTGATTAGATTTAGGAATCTTGGTTAGTTGGTATGTGTGTATCTTTTGATCTAAAGGAAAAGTCCTGACATGATCTCCTCTGGAAAACTGGAAAGGAGTGGATGAAAACCTGGGAGCACCCAGGCCTCGGTGTTTCCAATCTGGCTGGCTTTCAGGTGTCTTTCTCAGACTATTTTTATTGCTTCTTTACTGGGTCTATAATATTTGGCCTTCCCTTTGTTCCTTTCCAGTTAATTAATAACCAGGTTATTACAATGGTATCACTCCCCCCGAGAGGGGGGAAACACCTTCTGTAATCTTATAAAGGAGAAACAGACAGGTCTGTCTTCTTGTAACTGCTGCCTGCCACCAAGGGGTATAAACCTACCTGTCCCAAGGCTCAGAGGCTCTCCCTGTCTGCCAGAGGAAAGGGGAAGCAAAAAGGAAAGGAGTGCCAATGCAGAGAAGAGGAATTTTGCAAAGTCCAGGTGAGTCTGGTGTCCCCTGGGAGGTGACATGGGTGATGCCCAGGGGGATGACTCTTTGGACAAGCTGGCGTCCTTGTTGTAGTCTGGAAATGACCAATTTGACAAGGTTAAAAAGCACAACTGAAAAGTGAGGAAACTTATAACAACTAAAGGTCTAGTGAGAGGCAAAACCCATTTGATAAAGGGAAAGATTAACATAGTTCCCCCGATTAGGTCAGAGGAGTGGCTTCCCTGGAGGTAGGTGTGTTGTAACTGTCGGAAGTCTTTTTGTCCTCCATAGTTAATCTAAATTAAGCTAAGGAAATATTCTAAGGTTTCCCCCATGAGAAACTGTGGGCCTTCTCTGTCTGACTTGTTTGGACAGAAAAGGGAAAGCAGTTTCAAGTGAAGCCGATAGACCATTCATCTTTCACTGACTTAGTCATAAGTCCAGATCGCTGAGTCTCATTTCAGAGGACGGTGATGCAGGTGGTTTCTAAAGTGAGGTCTATATTTTGTGAGCAAGCAATCAAGTAAATATGGACATAGGCACATATTCTATAATAACAGAAGCAAGAAAGGTTAATGTACACAGAAAATCATAAACCAGTTGCGAAGATTTCCATATGCAAGGCTTTGCTGGAATGAAAGCAGTGAAATCTGATAGATTGCAGTTAGAACATCTCTGGTGATGTCATCAGATGCTGTATGGCACACACAGACACAGACTTAAAAACAAAACCATGAAGACAGTTTACTGCACCCAAGTCCAATACCCACAACTGGGCATTGTAGTTTTCATTGAAACACAATTTTTCTCCTTAACTTAGTTCCCCCGATTAGGTCAGAGGAGTGGCTTCCCTGGAGGTAGGTGTGTTGTAACTGTCTGAAGTCTTTTTGTCCTCCAGAGTTAATCTAAATTAAGCTAAGGAAATATTCTAAGGTTTCCCCCATGAGAAACTGTGGGCCTTCTCTGTCTGACTTGTTTGGACAGAAAAGGGAAAGCAGTTTCAAGTGAAGCCCATAGACCATTCATCTTTCACTGACTTAGTCCTAAGTCCAGATCGCTGGGTCTCATTTCAGAGGACGGTGATGCAGATGGTTTCTAAAGTGAGGTCTATATTTTGTGAGCAAGCAATCAGGTAAATATGGACATAGGCACATATTCTATGATAACAGAAGCAAGAAAGGTTAATGTACACAGCAAATCATAAACCAGTTGCGAAGATTTCCTTATGCAAGGCTTTGCTGGAATGAAAGCAGTGACAATCTGATAGATTGCAGTTAGAACATCTCTGGTGATGTCATCAGATGCTGTATGGCACACACACAGACTTAAAAACAAAACCATGAAGACAATTTACTGCACCCGAGTCCAATACCCACAACTGGGCATTGTAGTTTTCATTGAAACACAATTTTTCTCCCTCATGTTTAAGGAGACTGTATTAGTCCAGTTTTAGTTTGACTTGTTTGCATAAACACAACAAGAGTAGCAATCAAATTTGTTTGGCTAGAATCTTACTTATTCATAAGGAATCTTTAGGTTGACTTTTAGTCAGCAGTCAGCCCCTCACGGCAGAGAAGCCAAGGCCCATTTGCCGTTAGGCTATGCCCGGAACACCTATACATTTGGGTCAAGTCGTTACATCCTTGAGGTCCCCAAAGGTGTTCTGAGGTTCATTTATTGTTGTATTTCAGGAAAGCAACCTTCAGTCCTTCCCTGGAAAGACTGCCATGAACCATGTGACCAAGCAAAGTGTCAGGCCATTTCTGCCAGTGGCTTTTGATTGGCTTTGATCAGTTTGTCAGTCTCAATTCTGTAAGGCAGGGGTCCTCAAACTTTTTAAACAGGGGGCCAGTTCACTGTCCCTCAGACTGTTGGAGGGCCGGACTATAGTTTAAAAAAAAAACTATGAACAAATTCCTATGCACACTGCACATATCTTATTTTGAAGTAAAAAAACAAAACGGGAACAAATCCAATATTTGTATTTGCATGTGGCCCGCGGGCCGTAGTTTGAGGACCCCTGCTGTAAGGCATTCTGGTGACATCCAGAATCCAGGCATGTCTCTCAAATCATGAGATTTGTCTCTCAGAATCTGCAATCCAACAGATGACTCAGATAAGCCTACTGGAGACTAGGTGTTAGCATTACGAAGGCAGGCAGTTTTTTTGTTTTTAGAAAACCCAGAATAAAATCCCATTCCAGAGTGAGCACTCGAGGAATGGAAGTTGTAGTATTGTTGATTTCAAGGATTTTTTTCATAATACAACAAGGAACTGAAAACAAAAATAATTATTTGCTCCCCTCCCCAATCTCAAAATGGAAACATACGGTTTCAGCCGTCCTTTCAGAGCGGACCAACAGCTGTGTGTGGAGGGGCGGGGCGGTGCATAATATAAAAAACAGGTTTTGCCCTAGCCGGCTTGGCTCAGTGGATAGAGCATCAGCCTGCGGACGGATGGGTCCCAGGTTCGATTCCGCCAAGGGCACATGGCTGGGTTGCGGGCTCGATCCCCAGTAGGGGGTGTGCATGAGTCAGAACCCACAGGTTGAGAACCGCTGCTTTAAAGGCTCTGTTTCTTTAGGTAAATGTGGAGATCATTGTGAAACTTAAGCCGTGGAGTTAAGTAAAGGGGTTGTGGGTATCACTGGTTTCTGAACTTCGGAGCAAAAGACAGGCACCTGCCTCACTAAATATAATGAAACACATCAACATTTTTAATATCTGCATAACTCAGTTGAACCAATACTTTCAAATAACCAATGAATGCATAAATACTTTTAAAGGTGGTCAGTTTTAACTTCTAATACAGTAAAAATATCGGTAAACACAAATAAAAGCCCTTTGGAATCCTCAATGATTGTAAGTTATTGTTATGGAATAAAGTAATGGAGATCAACTTAAGAAAGTTCCCGAATCACGTAATTCTCTCTTTCCTCTTTCTCCACGGTTTCCCCACCACGGTTTCAGCCGTCCTTTCAGAGCGGACCAACAGCTGTGTGTGGAGGGGCGGGGCGGTGCATAATATAAAAAACAGGTTTTGCCCTAGCCGGCTTGGCTCAGTGGATAGAGCATCAGCCTGCGGACGGATGGGTCCCAGGTTCGATTCCGGTCAAGGGCACCTGCTGGGTTGCGGGCTCGATCCCCAGTAGGGGGTGTGCATGAGTCAGACGATCAATGATTCTCTCTCCTCATTGATGTTTCTCTCTCTCTCTCCCTCTCCCTTCCTCTCTGAAATCAATAAAGAAATACATTTTTTTAAAAAAAACAGGTTTTATCAGTAGGAAGGAATCGAAGATTTTTTAAAGCCCTTAAGTTTCCGATGGGCACAAAGCTGAGTAAAACCACAGACGTGAACGACCAGAGGGACGGGCAGAACCCCCAGAACAGCGGCAGGTGGGGCTGGGAACCTGCGAGTGAACAGGGGCAGCGGGGATGTTGCCAACACCTTGAGCTTCCCTACAACTCCCGCTTCCTCCCGCAGGCTCCCGCGTCAGGCGTCTGGGGAGAACCGAGGGGCCGCTCCAGGAAAAAGGGGGGGGCTCTCTAAACCCCACGCCGCCCGCAGCCCCCTCAGACCTCCTGACTCCGGGTCCCTCCCCGCCGC